AAGAAATTAGAAACAGTTGCCTTGGCCAGGGTAGCCCCGGGTAAAACGGTAACCCTGCAACCAGGACAACTTTTTTCGATGTAAACAGGGCCTAATGCAGCGATGTAAATAGATAGACTTAGATTTTATATAATTTTGTTCATTTGTCAACAGGACAAAAGACAATTAACCAAAGCTGCCATTCTTGTYTTAAAGAGTGCACATTATAATTCAGAAAGCTTCATAATCAGTCTCRCATTAGAGAGGTCAGTYTGATTAGCTCAATTTTATACACTTATTAGGCAATATACAGCGACGCCATTTTGTGCTGTRTAGCATGTTGGTAGTTGTAGTACCCTTGCTTGTAAGAYACCCTGAAATATCTCCCTTARAGMCGTTTTTTTACATTTTCTTGGTATAAACTTTCTTAGTAAAACTATATCTCCTATTTTAGCTAAGAAAAAGCAAACTGTTGTAACGGACATAAAAAATACGAGGACTAGAACTAACAATCATGCTTTGCTGTACAAAATGGCGTAGCTGCACATTGCGTTCTAGACAATCGAACACTGTGTAACGGAACTAAAATATGATCAAATTAGATTATGTCAMACTAAATACCTCCACTGATTACGATTATGTACGTTGTCATGTTAACTTGGCGAAGTGAATCACATGGGACTGAATAATTCATAAAAAGCTGGATGCTGGTGATCCCATTGACTCGGATTCGGAATCCAAGATTTTTAGTTTTCCAGATTCCAGAGACACTGGTGAAAAACGCACTGCGCATGTCCACAGCCTTCCCACTGAAACCTCCCTAATTTCCTTTGTAAAGCGATTTTTGTGAAAGTTTTTTACAATTTATAAGCTCGTTCACGGATATATAAGATTCATATTTCCATCAATCTTTGTTCATGACATGTTCTTTTAGTATGTAGTTTCTATTTTTATCTTGTTATTTCTATTTTGAGAAAATGAGGTTTTTCGTAGTGTTTTCTGTGTTGTCGCTGTAAATCGCCAGTCGCTCTGTTTACAGATTTCAAGACGCGAGCGCCCACTGGCGGGAAAGCTGTGGGCATGCGCAGTGCGTTTTTCACCAGTGTCTGTATTACGTGATTACGTTAACTT